ATATGGACGATGATGACTTATTGAAGATGGAGCTTGATGATTTTGGTGACCAGGAGTGATCATGTTATGCATGTTTTATTAGTCTATTTTAGTTTTTCAAGACTTGTTCTAGTTGTTTGCATTCTCACTAGGCTTATTTTACATGTTTTTCGTAAGAAAATTTTAATTTCGAATGGGTTTATTTAAATTATTATGTCTTTACCTTGTTTTTGTGCTTATATGAATTTTTCAATTTTTAGAATAGTGCACAACTTTCCTCGCGTACAACCCATGGAGAAGGAGACAGTTTTGTGCTTGGTAGATAGTGCTACCACACATACTATCCTAAAAGATAGAAAATTCTTCCAAACTTTGACTGAAAAACAAGGAAGTGTAACCACCATTGCTAACGACAATGTGTTTGATGTAGGCTCCGGCAGAGCTTCACTAATACTTCCTATGGGTACGAAATTAATCATCAATGATGCATTATTATATCCAGAATCCAAACGTACCCTTCTTAGTTTTAAAGATATTCGGTCTAATGGTTTTCATATTGAAACCGAAAATGAGAATGGTGCTGAACATCTTCTCATGACTCAGTCAATTGGATGTCGGAAGCAAGTTGTAGAGAAGCTTCCATCTTTCTCCTCAGGATTGTACTACACATATATCCGACCTAATACTAACCATGTTGCGATGAGTTTAAAATTTATAGATCCAAATTCATTTAAATTATGACATGAGCGATTGGGTCATCCTGGGCAAATAAGATGCGTCGGATAATATTAAATTCAATTGGGCATAATATGCCAAGCAGCAATGTCCCCTCTTCTTTAGACTATATTTGTGAGTCTTGTGCTAAAGGAAAACTTATAGTTCGCCCTTCTCGTACTAAAGTGAATATTGAATCTCCCATTTTTCTTCAAAGGGTTCAAGGAGATATCTGTGGACCCATTCATCCTGCATCAGGACCATTCAGATACTTTATGGTCTTGATCGATGCCTCTACTCGATGGACCCATGTCAGCTTGTTATCCACTCGTAATAATGCCTTTGCTAAATTAATAGCAAAGATCATTGAATTACGAGCTCAATTTCCTGATTTTCCAATTAAATCTATTCGTATGGATAATGCTGCCGAGTTCACATCCAAATCATTTGATGATTTTTGTATGGCATTGGGCATTAAAGTAGAGCATCCGGTTCCTTATGTCCACACTCAAAATGGTTTAGCAGAATCGTTAATTAAGAGAATCAAATTAATAGCTAGACCGTTATTACAAAATTCAAAACTACCTATTTCTTGTTGGGGACATGCCGTTTTACATGCTGCTGCGTTAATCCAAATCCGACCCACTGCATATCATGATTATTCCCCCTTACAACTAGTGCGTGGTAAAGAACCAAACATTTCCCATCTGCGTGTTTTCGGATGTGCAGTTTATGTTCCAATATCACCACCCAAGCGTACCTCTATGGGCCCTCAGCGAAAACTAGGTATATACATTGGTTATGAAACTCCGTCAATTATAAAATACCTAGAGCCCATGACAGGGGATCAATTTACTGCTCGGTACGCTGATTGCATATTCGATGAAGATCATTTCCCGACATTAGGGGGAGATAAACACCAAAAATTAAATGAATGTCGGGAAATATCGTGGTATGAAAAAGATCTTCAATATTTAGATCAACGAACTAGTCAGGCTGAACTTGAAGTTCAGAAGATAATTAATTTGCAACATTTAGCAAATAAGCTGCCAGACGCATTTACTGATCACAAAGGAGTGACTAAGTCCTATATTCATGCTGTAAATGCACCACAAAGAGTGGAAATCCCACAGGGACTGAGTATATCAAATGATACTCCACTACGCCAGAAGCGTGGGAGACCGATCGGTGCGAAAGATAAGAATCCGCGGAAAACTAAATATAATAAAGAAAGTCAGTCACTCCCAAAACCTCCTGAAGAGGATCGTCCTGAAGGCGAAAGCTCCAGTAAAATTGCACGTGCACTTGATAATCATCATACTGGGGTTGCGGAACAACCAAATCTAAATGATATGGGAAATGATGATGATTTGGTGGATATAAACATAGAAGTAGCTACAAATTTTGTGAATACCGGAGAAACATATAATAGAAATATAACAGTTGTCGACAACATATTTGCCTTCACGATTGCTCTTAACATCTCCAATGATAATCTGGATCCAGAGCCTAAGTCGATAGCAGAGTGCCGGAAGCGCTCAGACTGGGTGAGATGGAAAGAAGCAATAGAGGTAGAGCTCGACTCGCTAAATAAAAGAAAAGTATTCGGACCTGTAGTCCGTACACATGATGACATTATCTCTGTAGGATATAAATGGGTCTTCATACGAAAAAGAAATGAGAATAATGAGGTGGTGAGATACAAAGCGAGGTTAGTAGCTCAGGGGTTTACGCAGAGACCTGGCATTGATTTTGATGAAACATATTCTCCGGTTATGGATGGTATTACGTTCCGCTACTTAATATCAATGGCAGCAATAATGAATTTAGATATGCAGTTGATGGACGTCGTGACCGCATATTTATATGGGTCACTGGACGCTAATATTTATATGAAAGTCCCAGATGGACTTAAAATCCCTAAATTGAGTGAAAATGAAAATTGCAACATGTATTGTATTAAATTACAAAGGTCATTATACGGCTTAAAACAGTCGGGTCAAAAGAAGATAATGAAGAAATGTTAGGTCCAGAAGTTCCCTATCTGAGCGCCATTGGAGCACTTCTCTATCTCGCAAATTGCACCAGGCCTGATATAGCATTTGCGGTGAACTTGCTAGCAAGGTATAGTGCTTCTCCTACAAGGAGGCATTGGAATGGTGTTAAACATATCCTTCGTTATCTTCAAGGAACAAAAGATCTTGGACTATTCTATAAAAGAAACCAAAATATGACATTGGTGGGCTATTCGGATTCGCTATCTTCAAGGTACAAAAGATCTTGGACTATTCTATAAAAGAAACCAAGATATGACATTGGTGGGCTATTAGGACACTGGCTACATATCTGATCCCCATAATGCCAGATCCTAGACTGGTTATGTTTTTCTCTGTGGTGGTACTGCCATTTCTTGGAGGTCTGTCAAGCAGACCATGGTGACTACTTCTTCTAACCACTCAGAGATTATCGCTTTATATGAGACCTCACGAGAATGTGTATGGTTAAGATCGTTGATACGCACATTCATGGGCTCGTGTGGTCTAGAGAAAGACGATATTACCTCCACTATCTTTTATGAGGACAATACAGCTTGTGTTGCACAAATGAGCAGTGGATATGTAAAAGGAACCATGACAAAACATATTACGCCAAAATTCTTTTATCCACATGAGCTCCAAAAGAATGGCGAAATCACCATCGAAAAAGTTCGCTCAAGTGACAATCTTGCAGATTTGTTCACCAAATCTCTGCCTACATCAACTTTTGAGAAATATGTTCACAATATTGGTATGCGCAGACTTAGAAGACTATCGTCTTCAGGGGGAGCAAATTCTTAAAGAAAAATCCTGAAGATTGGGCCCTGAAGGTCTATCATCATATTTTCAATGCGCAGACTCAGAAGATTGTCATCATCAGGGGGAGCGAATTTTCATTGCAATCCCGAAGATTGCGCCTTGAAGGACTATAGTTGTACTCTTTTTTCCTTTTGCTAAGTTTTGTCCCACAGGGTTTTCTTAGCTAAAGGTTTTTAATGAGGCAACTAATACAACACAAGTTTTGGATCCCGAAGATCTATAGTTGTACTCTTTTTCCCTTTACTAAGTTTTGTCCCATAGGGTTTTCTTAGTTAAAGGTTTTTAATGAGGCAACTAATGCAACAAGAATCTACTAATGTCGTGTACTCTTTTCCTCGACTAGTTTTTATCCCACTGGGTTTTTCTAGCGAGGTTTTTAATGAGGCATTGACATCTCGAAGTAATGTCCAAGGGGGAGTGTTGAAATCCAAAAGTCATTTTGTGGAAACCTAAAAGGCAAAATGAATGTGGACATTACTTTATTAATGTGGTATATTTATTGGTGACTTTTCATTAGTCTAATGTCTTTTTATTTTCCACAATGTATCTATAAATTGGTGGATGTATGGAAAAAAAGGAGGAAATGAAAATTACAATTTATCTTATTCTCTTGTCTCTTGTCCATCTTTCGTTTTATTTCTTTAGTATATTACAACATAAATGAAATATTCAAAACATCAAGGATAACATTGACCATAACTCGTATTTTTAAATGAAGTATATGATATGATATGATTTAATATAGTATGAACTACAATTAACTCATAGGAGTTAAAGAACCATCTATTTATATTTATATAATAAAAAAAATCAAAATTTTCGTTATTTCCGAGCACTAAAATTAATCATAAAAGATTAAAATAAAACTTTTTTAAGGGCTAATAATTTCGTCAATTATCGAATTAATCCTTCTCCTTAACCCAATCCTTTGCTCTAGGGTTTTCAATCCCCGAGCAACCCGTAAATCAGGCAAATTTCTCATATCCATTCCCGAAATCCCTCAACTAATCAATCAAACAATTCATCTCAGCAGTTCAACCATGGATCCTCACCTCTCATCAGCGGCCGCAGCGCCGCGCTACGGCGACCGCCACCCTAGCCTCCGCGGCGCCGCCCGCTTCCTCCACCCAGCGAGTAGCCAGCGCCTGTTGAGGGAACCCTCGATGGTCGTGAGAGAGACGGCGGCGGAGCAGCTAGAGGAGCGGCAGACGATGGGCCTACTCGAGGCCCGTCGTGTTTCTCGATGTCTTGTGGAACTTGGCGTTCGTCGCCATCGCCGCTGGAGTTCTCGCCGAGAGCAGGGACGAGAAGCCGACCATGCCGCTGAGGCTGTGGATTGTGGTACGCGGTTCAGTGTGGGCGCCACATGGTATGTGTCTGTGTCGAGTATCGGAGGCGGCGGTCGGAGAGGGAAGGGGTGGAGGTGGGAGTTTGGGGCTGGCTCGTCCAGATTTGAGCGGGGAGGTGCGGGGTATGGTAGTGAGCTGAATCGAGAGGAGGTAGGAACAAGGTAAGTTGGTATTGCTGAAAATTTTATAATTTTCTGTTTGTTTTTTTTTTAAAATATATATTGCTGAAGTTATGTTTGCAAACAAACGTTTGAGGCCCTTCATATTCGCAAAATCAGAAAACTGGCGCTACGGAGGAATTCAATTGTCATGTAGATCGATTTTTATGCCATGGGTAGTTCTTTTTCTTCTCCTGGTATAACAACTTTATCGATGGGAAGTGATACTAAGGAGTAACTATTAGGTTTGTCAGGGAGGAAAGTTATGCCGTAGCATTGGCTGAGCTAATGGGGGCTAGGGGTGCCCATGACCCTCCCTAGCTTTCTGAAACTAAGTATTAATGTTATTGATGACTCTGATGACATACCTCCTTTTGAGACTGATTAAGATTTTCTAAGAGAAGATTTTAACTCTCTCAAAAACCAACATAAGAAAGAATGTTTTTTTTTTAAAAACTTATGAAGAACATTTTAGATCATCAGTTCGAGCCCTATATTATGATTCCTTCAAGATATTTCAGATGAGATCAAACTAGATAAAATTGAAAGACATATTAATGAAAAACAATTTATTAAAAAAAATTAATTAGGCCTAGCTCTCCTCCTTGGAGTTGCGCAACCTTCTCTTGTAATAATTTTTTGAGCTATAAGGGTGTTTCTTAATGTTTTGTATTTGCACAATTTTATTATGTTCTGATGGGTAGGCAATTGTATTATTGAATTGAGGCTCTCAAATTTTGACAAAACATCAATGGCCGGAAATTTATTTAAAGACATGTCTTTTAATCTCTTAGTTAACTCCTCAGTAAGATTGCTTATTTTTTTACTAAGTTTAAGAGGTTTATTATTTCCTATGAAAAAAGATGAGAAATATATTAAACAAAATAATCTCTATCCTTATTTTAATAAGGTTGCATTAACATCTAATGAGATGTTACAAATTCTTGGCATACGAGAATACATTCAACAAAATATATGCAGAAAGCATTTAAACAGAGAGTAATTATGGTCCAACCTAAATATTCTACCTCTCATACATAAAAGTTACAATCACTGTTTTAAAAAGCCTCCATCTAGTCCGTCTAGGTGTACACCTAGACCTAGACGGTACCTAGTGAAATAGGGTATTTGCTAATCTAATCCGATTTAATGCCAAATTAAAACTTATAAAGAATATCCTAGCAAGTATGATATACACAAGTGATATATGCAAGTATAAATAAATAGTTAATAGGCGATATAAACATGCAAGCACAAGATAAAAGGAAATTATGCGTCAATGACAAACTCAAACGCAAACAAATGATCACGAAGTTCGGTCACCCTCGACCTACGTCTCCGCTCATCACTCTCGAGGAGAATCTCCACAATCTCAACCGGTTTTTAACGTTCACCGAAAACATTCACAACTCACACTACACAATCGGTTTTCAATGCTCACCGATAAACGTTTACAACACTCACAATGTAATCCCACAACACACCCTCTAAGTGTTGGCCTAGCTCGTGACGTCTTCCTCAAGTATTCGGATTTATATCCTCTCTAGGCTTTACTATCGACGTCACTCCTCTTAGAATCGACCTTGTCTCTCACCACACACTCCTCTCGGTGTACTTGTGTATTACAATGTGTATCTCACAATAAACTCAAGTAAAAATGATTTGTTCTCTACAATGGATGAGAACGAATTGTAAGCTCACACTCAATGATACAATCTCACAACCCCAATATACTATCTATGAAATAGTTAAACTCAAGTGGGTGTTTGTAATCAATGAGTATAATAAAAAACTAAACTCAATATGAATTCTAGCTTAATGAAATAGTTTCTCAAAAACAATATATATATATATATAGAAATTGAGTTTAGTAAAACTTCTCTGAAAATAAGAGTGAGAGAGATGAAATTTAAACCCAAACACGAAAGAATCGATCTCCTTCTCTTGTGAGAACTTCTTCACATAAACACTTGTAAAAACAAACTTTAAACACACTTAAACTTTAAAAAAAACTCTTTTAAAACTCTCTTAAACATCCATAACAAATAAATGAGAGTTGAGGGTTTTTTATAGCCTCGTAAACCAGCAGAAACCCCACCCAAAATCGGATATGAAAGAAACTAGCCATTACAGGCTTAAAAGTGCCCATCAGTTGACTTATTACAGGCGTCGATCGACTGATAAAGTCGACAGTTTCAGATTTTGGCAGTTTCTGGAATTTTACGTATCTGGCTTTCTAAAATAGATTAAAATAAATCAACTCTAAAAATCATGAAATTTTGGGGAAAGTTTCTACACGTAGATAAACATGTTGGAGAAAGAATTTCTAAAATATCACTTTCTATTTGTGAGAAATCACTGTTTTAATACAGATATTTCAGATTCTGAAAACTACTGAAATACTTGAGTTTGTAAAATCAATTTAACATAGTAAATCAACTTCAAAAATGATAAAAGTTTGGGAAATGTTTATAAACATGTAATAGAACATGTTAGAAATTTTTTTTCTCAATTTGTATTTCTCATTTGTGAAAACTCATTTATTTTGCAAACTGTTAAACAATACGAAATCGTCAAAACTTGATTTTGATGAAATCAGTGAAAACTCATTTATTTTGCAAACTGTTAAACAATACGAAATCGTCAAAACTTGATTTTGATGAAATCAATACAAACAAGTTTTGAAACACTTTTTAATAGATTAATTAACTTGAGAAAAGATATAAAATAGTGTAAACAAGTCTTTAATCCATAAACACATTATTTTCCAAATAAAGATGATAATATGAAACTAGTATGTATGTTTGTAAATGTAGCTATTTGTTTCATATTTATTTGATTTAACTTGAAAACGATAAACAAAAAACGTGTATGTGTGTAATATTTGAGCTTTAAGCATAAACACACAAAGTATAAGATTTAAACTAGAAATAATATACCTAAGCTAAGAGATCTTCGATATGCTCGTCTTGTTTACGGATGAAGCTTGAACTTGCACTTGACTTGAAATGTAAAGCTTCATTCCGATATTCTTTCCATCCTCTAATGGATATGATCGTGTAGGCGTAAGTCCATCCAACCTCTTACTTTGATGTTTGTCTAGAATACCTAATGAGCAAACACAAATACTAGACAAACGATGTTAGAGATTATTTGTTAATCATCAAAACTAGATTAGATAGTAGGTTCATAAACATGAGACCTAACAATCTCCCTTTTTTTTATGATGACAAACAATCTACATAAAGAGTATATATTAAATATGCAATAAAATAAAATACTCATAAATACTCACAATCCACTTATTTCTCCCTCTTTGTTAACATCAAAATGAGAAAAATAATAAAAGAGCAAAAGCTCCCCCTATCAAAAAGGCACGATGAATATAAAAATAAATATAGGAAAAAAACTCCCCCTATCAAAATACCACATAACATATATTGATGGAAGTGATAAAGCAAATAAGGTACTCAAGATGATATATGCTTTAAGGCAATCTTACACATATGAGGCATAATGTGAGCAAAATACATACCAAATTATACTCAATATGATTAATGAGAACATATATAAATATATCCCATATGAGTGTTTACAAAGGTCTCACATTCATACCAAAAACCATTTATTTAAAAACAAATTTAAAATACACCATTTATATTATACTAAAAAATGAATATATATATCAAATGAAAATAAGGCAATTAAATCTGAGTATAGACCAAAAATAAAAAAACCATGATAACTCACATTTAACAAGACTATGAGAACACATATAGATATATCATTAAAAAAAATTCTCACTATATATATATATATATATACATATATATATATATATATATATATAATTAGGAATATGAGTAGAAGTCTAGTCATGAAATCAAATAAAAGGAAATCATGAAAAGATATTTTCAAATAAAAGCAAACCATGAAAAATCAAATAAACAAACATGAATCATGATTAAGAATTTTAAAAAATACAATAATATCAAAACAAACTTGCAAACTTGTTTTAAACTTTTCTTAGATAATTGAAGTGTTGAGGTCTGAGAATATATAAAGGTTTTAAGAAACAACAGCCCTAAACCAAAGAAAAACAAAGAAATCTAACAAAAAATAACAAAATCCAAGAAAATCTGAAAATAGTGCCGTTGGTCGACTGATGAACAGTATCAGTTAACTGATGAGCTGATCATTGGTGGCATCACAAGCTTCATCGGTCGACTGATGAACCCATCAGTCGACTGATGACCTGTTTCGGTCGACTGATGATTCATCAGTCGACTGAGCAGAGCCAAAGTACAGTTTCTAGGTGATTTCTTCAGTCGACTGATGATGATGAACAATATCAGTTAACTGATGAGCTGATCGTTGGTGGCATCACAAGCTTCATCTGTCGACTGATGAACCCATCAGTCGACTGATGACCTGCTTCGGTCGACTGATGATTCATCAGTCGACTGAGCAGAGCCAAAGTGTAGTTTCTAGGTGATTTCTTCAGTCGACTGATGATCCTCATCAGTCGACTGATAACGTGCACATGGTATGTTATGAACAGTAAAAATGAATTTCTAACCCTTTTAAAAATAACAATTAAATTCCAAAAATTATAAAATTTGGGAAAATGATTATTCTGATGAAAATGAACATGTTAGAAAACAAAATTTTCAAATATCATTTCCCGTTTGTGAAATCTTATCATTTTGTAAAATCTCAAAAATACGTATTCGTTTAAACCACTTGATTTTGACAAAATAATTTTAACCAAATTTTGGAATCATTTTTAATGGATTAGTAGACTTTGGAAATGATGTAAATAGTATTGTTTAGTCTATAATCCAAAAACACAAAATGTGAAACAATACATGTACAAAACAAAATTTTCTTTTAGAAGCATGAAAAAAAATTATTTGAAATTAAACATGTAATTAGAGTTGAATCTAAGAGAAAATACAATTTTTAATGTTATTCAACTCATCATTATGCACAATATCATTGGC